GGGGGGGGGGGGGGCGTCTGAATATAATGTATACCATAGTTTAAGTTTACATAGATTCTTGATATGAAATCATGGTTATGTATAGGGCTTAGTACATAACTGGTGATCGGAAGAGATTCTCTTTGATATATACATAACTATATATACGTACAAATTTTATATAGCACTGGATATTAAATCAAGTTGTGTTCATTAAATTAACTGCCTTAATTATTGATGTATTATAACGAAATGAAATAACAGATTTTGTAATAGACATGAGGTATATTTCAAGAATTGACTACAGCAAATGCAAACTTACGCACGTAAAGACATGGTCCTTAAGGTCTGTAACCGAAAAATTTCGGCTGCGAGGACAAAATACAACTTTTTATTTACGTACTTATACAGTGATCCCTTTAGTAGGACGGTTACTTATAATTTTGGAGTATTTCAAATCAATACTTTATCTAAAAACACAACGAAAATATTATATGGTGAGATATCTAGTCTAGGTATGAGTTTCAATAAAATAATAACACCTTTGATAATATCACTAATAATCTTTGAAGAATCGATATCTCGTAAAGTCCACTGACCTTAATTAATTCTGATTTTTCTGCTTTAGAGTTTGTTGCCGTCGTATGAGATCATATATGCGTGACTTAGCCAAAGATGACAAAAAAAAAAAAACATAAGCTCCATTCAAGTAATCCAGGTGAACATCCAACGTCTGTTTAAACATTCAAACTTACTAATAAAGTTGAATTTTGTTTGTTTGTTTGTTTTGAACATTGGACATTGAAATTCGGATTTTTCTGCTTTAGCCTTTGTTGTGTCTAAGATGACAATTGACAGCAAACAACATAAGCTTCATCCAAGCAAATCCAAGTTCCATCTCTATCCCAGTCACATGTCAAATTTCTTGCTATCTGATAATATTTGCTCACAGGAAACCATGTACTATATATACCATAGTTTAAGTTTGCAAGGATTATTGATATAAAATAAAAAATAAGCAAAGGCTTATTACATACCTAATGATCGGACGAGATTAATTTTGAAATATACATAATATGTACACATACTATATAGCACCGGATTAAATCAAGTTGTGTTCATTCAACTAACTGGGCTCAATTATTGATGTATTAACATGAAATGCAATTACCAATTTGTAATAGAAAAGCTCCAGCTTGCAAACAAAAAATAGGCATGAGGTATATGTCAGAATTGACTAGAGAAATGCAAACTTATGCACGTATTTCATGTAAAGACATATGATATTTATGGTCTGTAACCGACTTATTTCATATGGGAGACAAAATACTACTTTTTATTTACATATTTATATATGGATCCCTTTTGAACTACAGTTACTTATTTTGGAGTATGTCAAATCAATACTGTAGCTAAAACACAACGAAAATAAGTAATAATATACGGTATGAGTTACAACAACGTAGTTATACATTTGCTAAAAGAAAGTAATAATCTTTGAAAGATCGATATAAATCTTACATTCCACTGAGCTTAATATAACTTTTGATTTCTGCTTTAGTCTTTGTTGCGTGTATGATCACTAAAGAAGCAGAAGCACTAGCTAGTGAGAGAGAGACACAGACTAAGCTCTTGTGTTTTTGACTTGGCCATTTACACATGCCTAAAAGTAATCATGGAACCCAAATTTACCAACACAAACACTATAATTCCAAATTATCTGCTTCATAAGCTTCGTGTTACTTAGACATAATGAAGTAATCGAGTCTATAAGAGGAACACCAAACATATAATACATCACGACAATTTTGTTCTGGAAAGTGTTTCTAGCCTTCTAGGGTTTAAACATCTGGCTTGTAGGAGAAGCCATTAACAGTGTAACCTCCATCAACACAAATGGTTTGTCCTGTTATATAAGAAGCTGCAGGGAGACAAAGAAATGTAACCAACGACGCAACCTCACGCGGCTCACATGCACGGCCTAATGGAGTTCTTGAGAACATATCGTCAGCAAATTTCTTGTCATCAAGATACTGACAAAGTTCACATTTAATCCAAGATTCAGGTAAAAAAGGAAAATGAAGTAAAAATCTCACTCTGTAGAAAAAAGGCAAAGGGGTTTAGTTTACTTTTTTGACAAGTGAAGTTGCAGTGACCCAAGGAGCAACAGAGTTAACCCTTATACCATCACTTGCCCATTCACAAGCCAAGTTTCTTCCCAGTTGATTCAGGGCTCCTACATAAAAATAAGCTCATATATGTATAAACATAATTACACACACATTCACTAGTTATTGTCATTATACTGATATATCAACCTTTTGTTGCACCATAGATGGAGGATGTGCCAGAGACAATCCCTGATGCAGAGGAAATGAATATGACACTACCATTTCTAGAGGCTCTAAGCAAAGATGTGCTAATTGCGAGATATGGTAAGCAGATTCCACATTGGTAGACATCAAACTTGAGAAATCTTCTCCTCTACTTTCTAAAGTTGGCTTTAACATGAACTTGCCAACATTGTTTACCTGCATATAGGATGATGTTTTTAATTAGAATTTAAAGGTCTTTTGTTCAACAAGAGAAATAATATTGCATGCTAAAGATAATTAAAAGCGAACACATACAAAAAATTGAGACTTAAATGAGACCACAAGTACATAAGAAAGCTAGGAGAGGACTTTACAAGGATACTGAGTTAAGAATCAAACAGAGAAGAAACAGTCTGCATCAACTGCTCTCTCTGAGGTCGAGAGGTAACATCACAAATTGAACCACTGACTTGAAACCCTTTTCTTTGCCATTCACTTAAACATTCATCAAGCAGAGTTTGGTCTATATCACAAGTGTGCACTCTTGCACCAAAACCTGCAAGTTCCTCCACTATTGCATACCTGAAACCAAGTATCAAGCTCAGTGATTCTTGTATCAAACTTTCATAATTCTCACAAATAAATGAAAGAAAAACCATAAAAGAAACTCGGAAACAGAGCATTTGAGAAGAAGGAGAAGAAAACGAACCCAATTCCCTTGGTTCCACCGGTTACAAGAGCAGTCATACCTTGAAGACTCCATCTGTTGATATCCATTGTTGTGTTAATGTGTCACACTAAGTCACTATAGCCAAGATATACTCAGTTAAGAGTGATAAGACTAATGGTTGGCGATGTTTATATTGTGAAACATCTGTTGAAGTAAATCTACAAGACTACAGCGTAAGAGAAAGGGACTGAACACCAGTAAATATGTGGACCTCTCATTTTTCCTGTGGCATGAAACACGTGGTTAAACAAAGCATGTTCTTGTCTTTATGGGAATCGTCCTCCACACCATAAATACAAACGTCTGTGATTTTGGTTTGGTTGTTGGATGCACGTTCATCATTTGCATTTTAATGAGTTTTGAGATATCATTATATATAGTACTCACATCTAGTCGGTTATTAAATATTACACTTTAATTATTTAAATTAATGACTTTGACTACACTTAGATATTATTTTTCTTTTCTATAACCAATAGATGTAGAATTTTTATTTGCACGTATATTTCACTGAAAAACTTTGTCTGGGTCTATTTTTTAGACTTTAGCAGTTCAACAGTCTGCTTCTTTGAAATTGTTTTTATGTGTGAATATGTTAGGTCTTTTACGTAGATTTATCCGTAAATTCTTTAACAATAATATGTTGATACTAAAGCAAAATCCCTCATAAATAGACGATAGAACAATAAGACAAGAAACCACACACACACATAATAAGAATAGACTTTGTTTCTTTGTTTTTTATTGTTCATCAATGGCGATAACTTACAAACCAATAGCTCTCAGCATAATCACTCAATTATGCCTCGTTTCTTGCGTCTTAAGTCAACAACAAGGAGAAACAGAGTTTCTTCACCATGGTTTTTTCGAAGCCAATATACTCAAGTACGGATCCTCCAAGATCCTCCCAAGTGGCATCTTGGAGCTAACAAACAGCTCAAGGAGACAAATGGGTCAAGCCTTCCATGGCTTCCCCATACCTTTCAACAACCCTAATAAATCATCAAACTCGCTTTCTTTCTCCACAAGTTTCGTTTTCTCAATCAACGCGCCAGGTCATGGCCTAACCTTTATGATCTCTCCCTCCATGGATTTCACCAGAGCCATGCCGAGTCAGTATCTAGGTCTCTTCAACTCTTCAAACAACGGAAACTCAACAAACAGAATCCTCGCAGTGGAGTTTGACACTGTGAAATCAAACGAGTTTCTTGACATCGACGGTAACCATGTGGGGATCGATGTCAACGGTTTGGTCTCTGTTGAATCTGCACCAGCTGCGTTTTTCTCTAACCTCCAGAGCAAGAACATAAGCTTGAAGCTTTCGAGCACAGATCCTATTAGGGCTTGGATCGAATACAGTGGAGAGGATATGCTTCTCAACGTCACGTTGGCTCCTCTTCACATTTCTAAACCTAAGTTTCCTCTTTTGTCAAGAAAGATGAATCTGTCTGAGGTTTTTATTGAGAAGATGTATGTTGGATTCTCAGCATCCACTGGAAACATTACGAGTGATCATTATGTGATTGGATGGAGCTTTAGCAGAGAAGGGAGAGCAAAAGACTTTGATCTCACTCTGCTTCCTTCTCTAGATACCTCTTCTCCATCTGATTTTAGTGACTTTGATCCCATTTCAAATCCTCCTTCAGATTCAGCAACCCTAAACTATAAACTCACAAAACTAACCATAATCTGCTCATTTGCAGTCATGGTCTTTCTAATGTGATTGAACCAAGAGGAAAACGCATTGGTTCCTATGATAATTGTATTACTTTCCTTATCTTGTTAGAGAATCTTTTTATTGTATAATAGTATTTTTTCAGAATGGATCAAGTGAAGTTATGGAGGTGCCACTAGCAAAAAAACAACAGATCCAACTAACTTTCCACACACCTCATCAAACTAGGGTATAATCTTTTAATTTCATCTCCATGAGGCATTGGTGATCAAGCTTGCAATTATATTCTAGAGATGCTACCTATTACATTGTTCCTGCTCTCAACAGTAAGAGAAACCAAACAAAAATGCTGGAGAATGTCTTATAGAGCAACAAGCCAACCAAAGTACTTTCCCATAGATGTTTGTCTAAAATCATAAGATAAAAATAAACACACTGGACAATGAAGGACTGACTTCTCTAAAATTGTCAAAGATCAGAAGTCAAACTCCCCAAGCGCCTGAAAAAAAAAAGTAGACAAGCAAATGTCAGTATTATCATTACCAATCTTAACTGCGGGGAGGAAACTTAGTACTTTGTTGAAGAGGATGTCCTTATCGTTTATATGCATGATTCCATCTTTCAGATTGCACTTCCACCTGCTCTTTGTCCGAGTCACCTAATTACATACAACACCAAACAATTAATGTTACGCACAAATCCGGAAAGGAGAGTCAAATGGAGAGTTATTTACCTTGTCAAACTGAGCCAAAACCAGATGTTGTGTGTTCATATCCTCACCACTCTCTAAGTCATCAAGCTCGTCATCGTCATCATCTTCGTTCAACAGCTCTTCGTCATCTTCAATGATATCGTTTTGTGCAGTAACCGGAGTGCTCGTTTGGATCTCTAAAGAAGAGGAATTTTATAGCACAACATATATATTAAAAAAAAATTCCAATACACTCTCTTAACAATTTTGTTTGTGGCTTCTATTACCGTTTGGAGCAGGAGTTCTTCCCTCGTTGAATTCTTCACTTGGTCCTTGATAGCTGTAAATCTGCAACTCATAAAATGTTCAATGTCATAAGAGATTCTGACCTACTCAATGAAGAGGTGAAGCAATCTTACATTTGGAGTGGACAACATTTCATCATAAGGGTCAGGCATTGGACCATCCACTTGAGGTATCTTTGAAGATGAGGAGATGACATCTCGTGAGACCTTTTTATCGCCAACAAATGTTATGCAGAGTGAATTACCCTCAAGGTTCACCTGCAAAATTTTCCTAAAATCAGATGAATCACCGAGATTTCAATAAATACTTCATTCTTTTTCTAAGACAGAAACAAATGTAGTTCAAACCACAAACCATAGGCATATCATCGTTTGCACCATCCTGTTGTGGTATAGATCCACCATTTTGATACTGTGCAGATGAATCATCACGCTTCCGTTTCCCAGAGGATGGGATAAATAAGTCCTAGACGTATTCGAATGAAATATAATAAGTTCCATAGTTCACTATTCAGGTATAGTGAGCTTAAACGATGTGTACAATAAGGAAGGACTTGAGAAGATCACTAATCAAATCAATCATGTAAGTGTTGCAATGAAGTTTTAAACCCAAAATCAAGGTTCTGGATATAAATGTCAAGAAAGTACCTGCGTAAAATGCTGATTAGGGTTTCCTCTCTCAGGCTCATCACGTCCATCCACATAAGCTGGCAGCAGATCAGACATTTATATCCCAAACAACAAACTGAGACATGTTTTTAAGTTCTGGTAAGACTAATACTTACCAACATTGACATCAAGCCTTGGATTTGTCCACGGAGAAGGCGGTTGCTGCAATAAGAAGCATACTCTCAGTTTTTTACAAGCACTTAGAAAACCAGTTACACTACAAATCATTTTAACAAAAGCAGAGCTCACCATATAAGGACTAGGTCTTGCTTTAACATCAGCATGACTTCCATTCTCAGTTCCAGGAGTTGGATAATCACTTGACCCAGTAGGTATATTATACATTGAAGAGTTATCAGCCGTACCAGGAAGCGGCGTCGGAAGAGGAGTCTGCAACGGTGTCTACTCCAACACAACCAAAAACAAAACCAATTACATCTCAAAAGCCAATTCCTATCAAATTACATATATTCAAAGGCTAGTGACAAGTTCACTCACAGGAGGGAAGAGCATTTCAGCAGTGGGAGTTTCATACTCCTCTGTACCTTCATAAGGAACATTCAGATCATGAGTCAACGGACCTCCAGGTGTCGGCCTCTGAGCCGATGACCTTTCAATTGGTCCAGACAAGACTCCAGCTTGCATCATCTTTGTCTCCCAAATCTAACTCGGACCAAAAAAAAAAGACAAACTAAGTCCTAAAAACCCTAATTAACACCAATTCCACTAAAAGCATCAAACTTTCAATCTCAATTCCAAAACCCTAATTGAAAAAAAAAAACTTACTCCTTGAAGCTCACTGAGAACACTCTCGCCGGGACCTCCGTTGTTAACAAACTCCTCACGGACTTTGCTAACGACGTCCTCGATGACGTGGATATACACACTGCTCGTTGTCGTCGTTGTAGCCATAATCTCCTAAAATTCAATTTCCGGCGAAAATCGAAATTGGCTCCTCCGCGAATCTGAAAGCGTCGATTTAGAAAATTTTAAATAAAAAAAAGAAATGCTCTGAAAATGATCGGAGGCGGTTAAGCTCACCTTTGGTTGAGGCGGAGGTTGTGAGACGGAGCTTAGTTAGAGATCCGGCGACGGGAGCGAAGAGATCGAAAGCACCGGTCAAGACAAAAAAAATTATAAAAAAAAAAAGAGGAGAAGAATATAAATAGGTTTGGATCAGATTTCATCTCAATATGGACACGTGTAACCATCTGCGCCACTGCAAGATTTTCTTTTTACGGCACGCAAACCGAACTAAAGGTACCCGTTTGGTTCGGTTTTTTCTCCGACACAAATGTTAAACGGTTTGGTTCGGGTTTTTTCTCCGACACAAACGTCGAACGGTTTGGTTCAGTTGTCTGAAAATCCAAACCAAACCAAGCCAATAACCAATTATTTCTTTACCTTTTTTTTTGTCGAAAACTAAAAATAATATTTTTTTTAGTCGAAAACTAAAAATAATATTTTTCCAAAGGAATGTCTTCTTGTAAGTTTGTTTATGGTTGCAAGTTTTTAGTGGGAACTAGTTAAGATTGTATACATTTTAAAATTTTGAATGGTGAAATTAAGAGAAATACTTAATATTCTACTAAAAGTTTTATTCAACCCAAATTGTCAACATTTAGAAAAATGTTGGGGGAATTCTTCACTAATCTTATTAGTCTTCTAACCATACAATATAAAGACCCTATACCTAAATCTAAAACTTGTTTGAGTTTCAACTCTTTTGAACATTTTGCTTGGGTTTATTAGGACATTGGTGTTGTTTAATCCATACCCACATGGAATAATACTGATTTTAAACTCATATTAACAAACCACGATGCTACACATGTATATATTACTTTCTCAGTTGCTACTCCTTTAATCATTACCATGAAACATGTTTTGTCTGATCTGTGATTGTGGAGCAAATAGTCAGTTGAACATGTGACGTTTTAGGCTTATCCTTATCACCTTTAATCAACTTATTGAATGAACTTTATAGAGTCAATAAATCTAAGCGAAGAAAAACTAGCCACAAAGCTATAAGCTTCTCTCGATCAAAACGAACAATCGCCACAAAAATTCTGATACCTACTTAGCCACTTGGTTTCGCAGTTTCAAAATTAGAAGCTGCTATCTCCACCGTCAGATTTTTACTCTGACAAATCCAACGTCTCTCTCATCGCCATGTCATCTTTTTCCAAAGTTTGTAATGTTTCTGACACTGTTCACTTTCTCTCCTTTGTACTATTGTGTTTGGTTTCTCACCTGAGATGTCTGAGTTCTTTCTTTACGCGTCTTTGTTTTGCACCGTTTGTATTTTTTTACCGTAAGAATTCTCCGTACGATTATTTTGAGTTTTTTTTGTTGTTGCAATAATTGAAAATAGCTTTTGAACAAATCTATAACGTGATCACTTATTTTCTGATTAAATCCAAAATTCCTATGATCATGACATTATCGTCATAAGTCAAAAAGAGACAAAGATCGAGTGGTTCACAATTTTCCAATGGATTCTTCAATATCTCGATTTTTCTACCGCGTAAATCGGACGATTAGTGTTATTCATGTCAGTATATAACGCGCATTGTGCCCAAGTACGTGGATTCTCATACACAACCATATTAGTTTTATTTTAATTTCTGTTTAAATAAAATACGGCTTCGTATATTATATATCAGATTAGTTTCTTTAGGTTTCATAGATATAAAATTTAGGTTTGGGAAGAGGGAATCTTTCTTGTATTAAAGACAAAAAGTGTCAAAAGAATACTGGCATAGGATGCAAAAACGAATATACTTTAAAGATTAGGTTCTAAAACGGATATAGAAGAAAAAAAAAACTAAATACAAAGCTTTCAGGATAAAAAGTTGGTGCAACTCTTTGAGGAATTTTATTCTCTTCCTTTTTGTTTGAATTCTATTGTATATGGGATTTGCTTTACTGATTCAGTTAGTCAATGAATAATCAGAAATGGACAAAAAAGGATAACAAATCCAAAATATTTATCATATTGGCACTTGGCAAGATCTATAATCTAATAGCATAAACTTTATTGACCACATAATCAGGAAATCATGCATTAACTAGAACCCATTGTCGTTTGTTCTTTTAAAAGTATTGTTTGAAGTCTAATCACGGCCATAAAAAGAGCTGCAAAAGGGCATATGGAGCCAAGTAAAATTAGTAAATAACTACGTGAAAAAATACTCAGATCTGTTGACCAAAGAAACAACCTCAGATCTTTGACCAGATAAATTATCGTTGGTTATTATTAAATTATTTTCCAGACATTGTGAAAGTGACTATTCGATTTAATCCTAGCAAAATAATTGTACGTCTCGACACATCGACCCTCCAGATTGTGGCATAATTTTTTCACCCTTTTGTAAATATTCGATGTTTAAAATTATTTATACATCTGCATTCATGACTCTGTCTTATCAAAATTAATAGTAATAATAAAATATATTATCAAAAGAATCTCATTCTTACAATGTACTAGTATAGAAACTTGTAGCAACCTAGAGTAGAGAATCAAACTGATCTAATAGAAGAAAACAAAAAGAATATAGATGCATAAGATCTAAGCTAAGAATCATGTTTATGCCAACATACAAGCATAGCCACACACCTTCTCATGATGTAAAACCTTCCCTTCTGTTCTTTGGCTAAGCTACTGTACTTTTGGGTAATGGAAGACGATGACGATCCTTTCTCTTTCTTTGAGGAGCTTCTGGAGATGGAGGACGAAGAAGGCACTGAGCATTTGGTGGATGAGCTTCGTATGAATGCAGGAGCCTTTGTGGAGGAAGCACTGGTTGAGTAGCTTCGAGAGAACTTAGATTTAGAGGAACTTGATGAGCACGACGCAGCTGATGCATCCTTTTTGGATAGCTTCCACTTCTCGTCCATGTCTGCGTTTGCAAGACGAAAGAAAGATGGAGAGGAGGAGATATAGAGCTTCTCTGACTCAGATGGAGGCCGATCTCTATTTTTTATTTTATTTTTATTTGATTGTGAGTTTGTGGTGATTGAGCTAAAAGGAGATATAGTGATCTAGAGAGAGGGAGAGACAAGAGAACTGCTTATATATAGTGAGTCCTACCAAAATAAAACTAAATGGGAAAATGGAAATGATGAAGGCAAGAGAGTGAACTGGAATATTGAGTTAATTAATTTAAAAACCATATAGTATGCTGGTTAGCTAGGCTTGATAAGGGGTAACTATTATTTAACTATTAACTCCTACATAAATTTATGTCTAATTAAACTTTTCAAAAATAATAGAATAATATTTTTTTTTGTTCATCACTCTATTTTAAAATAAATTATAGAGTGAGAATAAAAATGCCCTAAAACGTATACATTGTCTACATACATAATACATTTTAATTTTATATAACGAAGTTGTTAATAATAATATCTCCAGCTTTACTTAATGTTCAAAAATGAAACTTGGAGTAAAATCCTCTGGAATCCTATTCATTTTTATTTCAGTAGAAAATAAAATTACACAACTAATAATTTGGTTTTATTCATTATTTTTAAAATGAGTAAAATTGAAACTAAATTCAGTTCTATAACAAAATTACATTCTAGTGTAAAAATAAAATAATATATTAGAAATGCTCTAAAATGGTGTTCCTCTTTCGTGCTTTCTATTTATTTATTTGTTTTTTGTTGGTCAAGTTCTTCTCCTTTAATACATGGATGAGCTTTTTACTTAATTTCACTTGTTTAGTTTTTATTTTCATTTCTTGATAGCTAATTTGCTCAACACTAGTTTTGATGTCTTATTTAATTTTATTTGTAGGTTCCACATTTTCATCAAATTGACTTGAAGCTTCAGATCCTAATATGAATCACTCATTATAATTGGAAAAAGAAATCAAGAAAACAAAGACGTTGTTAACCATTAACGTATTCAATCGTCACGTGAGAGAGAGAGAGAGATGACCATAAATTGTATCCATACATGTGTGTGTGTGTTTTGGTCTACTGCTGAAAGTATATTTACACAAATAAAACTGGGCAACCATAAGAAATTTTGTAAAAAACGACAACTATTTGGCTTTAGAGTAAAGCTTCTACCAAATGCAAAATAACTCTGTGGAATTAATACCTACTCCTATAGTATATATTTAGTCAAATGACGAGGATCCAACAGAAAGAATATTCTTGACGAGTGATTCAAGTATTAGAACATCGTGCCTTGAATTATGAATGAAGCCATTAAACAAATCTTCAAGATCAAAGAGTTTGAAATGTTTTTGTTTAAGATAGAAAATTCTAGAACATTTATTAGTAATATTTCTTCTTCTTATTTGTTGTATCGATCGGTTGATGTTGAAAAGGAGAGACGTACATTATTTTCAAATTTGTCTACTAACGTCTAAATCTAAGCGAGGTCTTGTCTCTCGAATTATATGATGAATCAGTGGTCGACAATTATACGAGTTTTACAAAACTAAAACATTAACATTTCCGTGAAAGTATGATTTGAGAGTGTTTGGAGAGAAAGGAGCAAAGAGGGACGGGAAGAAAAGTGTATCTTACGATAAATATTATTGAAATCGGGACCAAGAGTAGACAGCTTTGGGTCTAATAATATTCCACATGTTTCTTTCACTTGTGTTTTCAAAACAGCCTGGGTTTCCCGAAAACAACTCATTCCATAGTTGATAGTATATAAAACCATGCGTACGTACTTTCCACTATTTTTTTTTTTTTAATTACAGAGTCTGATTGCTAAGAGAAAAGTTTAAGCAACAAAAAATCTCAACGTATTTCGAAGATGATTTAAGATGTTAACGTCATAAGATAGGATTCCACTTTATAGCAAAAAACTACCGAAAGCTATTAAACAAATTATACTTATGTACTTAAGTATTTTGACTAGTCAAACATTTCTGTCAAGTTAAAGTAGCTTAAATTACTCCCTTTTTTTTCCAGGGACATTAATTAGCCCATATCTGACAGTTTACCTCGATAATCAGACAAATAATAACTAGACATTGATTAATACAATAAGTATAGTAGTATCTAATACTTGATGAATTATAACTCTGACAAAAAACAACAATATTCTTAGAAAAAAAGAAAACAAAAACTTATAAATTCAACCTTACATCGCGAATACGGGATTACCGACAAAAAAGGATCCAATTCTTCTGTTAGTCTAAACAATCAATAGAAAGCTAGAGGAAGAAGACAATAGCTAATTTTCCGTAAAAGAGTACAATGTGTCACTTATATAGTGAATATTTCCGGTTAAGCTAACAGTAAACCAGAGAATAAACCGAACACTAATAACACAACTCGTGATTTCAACATTTGATCTATCAGAACAGACTGCTACGTTACAAAGCGTAGGTGATCTCAGGTAGAAATGTTGCCATAAATAGGATCGTTTATAAGGTTGGCTTCTCATAGGCCCATGTATACCATTTTCTATATTTAGTATAACTAGGTGATTTTCCCGTGCATGTATGAATATTTCTAAAAGTAAATTTTTATATTAATTGATTGATATTCAGTTTTAGTTTTGAATCAATTTATATGTATAATTTATATTAATAAATATTATATTATTCTAATTATACATATGACTTTGGATATATTATTGTCGGTTTAATTATTTTTTGGATCAATAGTCGGTTGGTTATCAATTTGGTATATTGGATAATATCTATTTTTCGAGTTCAGCTATAATATTTTTTGTTCTAAATATAATAAAACTTTGATTAATTTTCTTATTTTCATTTCGGTTGGTTATTGTCTTAGATATGTAAATATATTCTTAAATATGTAAATATATTATAGTTAAATTATGTATAAGTTAATATATATTGTGCTTAAAATGAAATAAATAATAAGCTGAAGTGTTTGATGCAAAATACATAAATGAATATAATGATAAAACTCTCATGCATATATATAAATTTTACAAAAGAATTAAATTGTAGTTGGTTAATATTTTCTTTTTCTTTTTAATATGCTTTGAGTCAACCTCTAATTTATATGTATAAAATTGAATATATTATTATTATTATTATTATTATAAAATTATATGTTCTTATTGTAGTTAGATGTTATATAAATTAGATTAGTGGAGTCGTTCATTTTGTGACTATATATTAAGTTAAATATATTTTTAAATTAAAATTGAAGTATAATTACTTTTTATTCTAGTTAAGTCAAATCAAATTAGTTTTATTTATCGCTTAAATATACATGTATTTTCATAATATTTTATTTACTTTTTATTTTAGTTAAGTCAAATCAAATTAGTTTTATTTATCGTTTAAATATAAATGTATTTTCATCATATTTATCAATTATATGTTGATTTCTAAAAAATATTAGAAAATAAAGTGTAACTGATAAATTTTTGGATGTTCATGAACATATATATTTTTATTATTTTTAAAATATATTTTATGTTATTAAAAAATATATATTAATTGGGGTATTACTATTTGTGAACTTTCCTTTTTAATAAGTCATATTTTATACATATAATTTCGTTTTTAAATTTATTTTATAATTTTAGAAATATTTCCTTTTTATTATATATGTTATTTGGAAAAAAGTAAAAAAGAAACTAAATAAAAAAATTAATAATAATCTTAAAATGTAACAATTCATTAAGGGTATCTATGTAATCAACCATCACGAGAGTTAACATGAGCGCGACACATAGGAAATTGACTTCTCAAATAATATTATAGAGATTATTTTCAGATGGTCCAATGTATTATGATCTAAAGGGATAAATTGAGCACAACAAGGGCCTTTAAATAACCGAACCGAATACCTAAACCAAGCTTTGGAGTGGTTGTGAGATTCTAAACCGGTTGGTTTATTTATAGTAGTGAAGACCAAACCGGTTTTAAACTATCCACAGAAACAAGTATATTGGTGGGGAGTCTGGAACGCGTAGGTGTCTTGTCTCCCAAGCTGCAGAGTCTGAAACTATCCTCTCAACAAACACATAAAGATCCCAAAATTTTTTTGGGCTTTATTGGTTTTCTGATTGCCCACATCATCACTTCCCAAAAGCTTTCACCTTTCCTCCAAATCCGAAACCAAAGTTGCTCAACACTAAGCCTTTTCTTTCTTCATTTATCATAGTTTTGGCGGCTGAGTACTCACCTCTAGCTTTTATAGATTCTGTAATATCAACCTTTCTTTGAGTTTTCTTCTGTGGGCTACTATTCCTTCTGAAAGGATTGTGAAATGTTTGTACTTTGAATGAAAGTTGTAGTAATTTGATAGTATTTATTTGTTGCTAATGCAGAGGGTTCAAAGAAAAGTGAGAATGAGAATGTTTCACTGCTTAGACAAAAGAATTAGCTTGCTAGTTATATCATTTACACCTAGATGAGCTCGCTAATCATATATAAAGCTCCTAGTCAATTTCTTGAACATTGAAAGGCACCATCTCTGTACTAAAGGGTTAGTCAATAACCTCTTTTAGCTTTCAACATAAATACATAGAATGTAACATAGCAAAGTTAAAGAAATCCAAGTAAAAGAAAGAAACAAAATGTTATTACATGAAAAGTATTTTGATTGTAAGACACAAAGCTAAGAAGGGACCCAACAAGAAGAAGAGAATAGGATGCGACCTTTCCAACCTTGCAAGAACCAATTACTATCTTGATCAAGCACAAAGTCTTTATGGTAACCCCACTTCTTCATCTTTTCCCTAAAAAACTCCACAAGCTCTGGCTTCACATACTTCTGCTTGAACCCAGCCCTCATCATCCTCACTTGCCACTGCTTGTAAGTCTCAGGTCTCTCCACTCTATCCACTCCTTCACACGCAATCACATTCATCACTTCTCTCCCGAAAAACTCTCCTTCGAAATGCATCCTCTCCGGGTTATCCTTGGACAGAGTCGAACCAAACATGTCGAAGAGCGACGAGTAATGAAACAAAGCTTCTTTGAACCGAGTGGCGAAGAACGGAGCGTTGAAAGACCCGTTGATAGTCGAGCTGAGGAAAACATCAGGTTTCAGGTCTCTGATCAGTTTAAAGAACCTGTCCCTTGGACAATCCTCTTCTCCTGGAGTCACATCTCGCAGGTTCTTGAACCGTAACATTGAGTTAACAGCCAGAACTTCATTTGGTCGTATCTTGAACTCCTCTATACGGATTGTCTCCCAGTTCTTTGACGCTATTGCATTGTACTCAAACGGTACACCAAACCGTTTGCAATACTCTCTCAGTCTCCGACCTGTATCCTCTATCTTCTCCGTTGGACGATGCCCGTTTTGAGGAAGCTCCACACCGGTTATCCTCAGCTTCCTCGGCCCGACCTTTCTCTTGGATATGTACTGTATAAACATAGGCCACTGGAAACCGTAAAGGATCCCAAAATCGATTATATGAAGCACTGGAACATCTCTGGAAGCGTCAAGAATCATCTTGTTGGAGAAGAAGTAGATCAAAGTCATGAACGGAGAAGCAGACAAGAAGGTTTTGTATGTTTTAAGAATCTGCGCAGCTGTTCGTTTCTTTGAAGTTATAGAGTCGTAGTAACTCTGGATCATACCTCCACTGCTTCCTTGTAGACGTGCCTCGAGTGCCTTGGCGAAGAAGTAAGCTAGTCTTTGTGATGCATCTCCCAGAGGTGAGCATTGCTTCTTTATCTGTTTTAGCAATTCATCGGCTGCGAGCTTATCTCCTGATGAGATAGATTGTGCGCATAGAGTGAGAAGCGTGCGGAAATCAACAGCTTTGCTCTTCTTCTTACCACGTCCTCCTTCTTTGGTGTTAGATGATGTCTTGCTTGACACGTTATCGGCTTCTTCTTCTTCTTCTTCTTTAATCTGTGGTTCGTTTTGGTTATCAAGAAGCAAAACCTTATCAAACATCTCTGTTATAATACCATCGTCCACGTTCACTGCAGACTGCTTAAAGCTTCTAGCTTCCTCTTCTTCTTCACGCTCGCGATGATGCTTCCTAACTCTCAAACCCTTTTCATCTTTCACGGAGACGACTTCATGGTCTAGGTTGAAGATCCATTGATCGGTGTTGGGGAGAAACTTGCTAGCTTCCTCTACACCTCTCTTGAACTGGTTAACTGAATCTGCATCACTAAACATACTCCTGACGAGAATCTCACTCGCTGGCTCTCCACGCGACATGTTTGGTCCTTGAAACAACATAACCCTAGAATCAAGAGCCTCTCTCTCAGTAGAAATAGCTTCTGTCTCGATCCGGTTACTATTCAAATACTCACCAGTACTACTACCGCTACTAGTACTACTAGTAATCGAATCAGGAGGAGTGATATAAGGAGACTGAGCTTTTGAATCGGTGATGACTTTTTGCAACATCTCTTCGGTTTTCCTTAGAGCCATTAATGAATCATAAGACATAGACTGGCTCTCAGCGAGAGTCTCTTCTTCCATAAGGAGCTGGTTTACGTATTTCAAAAGGTTGTTTTCTGAATCGATCTCATCAGCAGTAGGTGGAGGAGAGTATTGATCATGATAAAGAAGATGATCAAGATCTTGATCTTGTTGTGTAGCTGGAACCCAAGTAGAAGGTTGCTGATGATGATGATGATCCAAGCGGAGATCAAACTCGCTAGACAAAGGAACGCCGAATCCCACCAGATCAGGAACATGGTTTGGTAAGAAACTCACATCGTAATACTCGTAACCGTTGACCATTTCAGAGAAGTTCGATTCCATAAAGAACACAAAGCACATGAATTAAGAGAAGAAAAAAAAACTAGAAATAGAGACAGAAAGGGAATCTGAAGCAGGTGAGAACAGAGAGAAACGTTGCTTACATCTGAAAAAGAAAGAAGGAGAAGGGGGACAAGTAAAGTGAACAAGTAAGACGCAATAAAAGGCAATTATAAACTTTGTTAGATCATTATGAAAACGTGAAGGTTGTGATTGGGATATTGCTAGGGGTGAGAGCAACAGCAAGAGATTGAGAGATAGTTAGAGAACAGAGATGATATAGAGAGAGAGAAAGAGGACGAAGCTTCCCGGGAAACGCGAGGGGGACAAGACCAGTTTGCGATTGGTCCGATGATGAGTCAAAAGTCAAAACTTTATTTGTCGGCTCCTTTTTGACCTCTTTTAATTGTGTTATTAGTGGGCCTGGGCCCATTTCTCTCTCTCTCTCTCTCTTTTTCTTCTTTTGGTAGTACTAGTAGTAGTGACTGTCATGTTAATTTAATACAAAAAGTTAACCATCTTTTATGACAAGTTGTTGAAAAAAAATTATTTTTGTATCATGTCTTAATTCCATCCCATTAACTTTTGGAGTGATTTAGTGAACTACCCCTATTTGAAGCTCAAATTAGCAAAATACCATTGATTGGACATAAAGGACACTGACACAACCATTTGGCAAGGAAATGCCGAGAATACCCTTTCTCTTTCCTCTCATTAACACGAAGCGTAAAAACATTTGTTAACATATAACACTTATGTTAACGTCTACAATATTTGTTAACAGCCAACGCATTTATTACCGCGAAGCGTAAAAAGAATTGTTAACATTTAACATTTTTGTTAACGTCTACAATATTTGTTAACAGCGAACATATTTATTAACGCGAAGCGTAAAAATAATTGTTAACAACTAACACTTCTGTTAACGTCTACAACATTTGTTAACCGCTAACACGACGTCGAATCTAAAACCCAGAAAATTGATATCATCAAAAAATGGAGGATTCAAAGCCACTTATGAAAAAAATAATGAAATTTAAAATTTAATTGTATGTACTTCTCTAATATCAACACCAAATATGGGTACTTCTCTAACGTCTACAATATTTGTTAACAACCAACACATTTTAAAATTATATATTTTTAATAGAGGTGTTATGTATTAACTATTATTTAAGAATCAAAGTGAACTCAAAAATATTTAATATATTTATTTTGCATGTAATTCATTTTGAAAATGATAAGAGGAGAGAAATGAAAAAAAAAAGTGATACACCCACATGTAAATGCAGGAAGGAAGGAGAGAGAGAGAAAGAAGGACAATTTGGTCAGACAAAATAAATATGTCCCATCATGGGCAAGTGACTAATATACACCTCCATTTGGGGTGTATCGGCCAATTAACTCTAACTTTTGTACTCCATATGTTATTATTACCTTTTCTATAGTAGATACAGGTCGCTCTAGAATAGTTTCTAGAAAGTTATGTGTATATATGTACTTGATCATTTCTGTTTTATTCACGATTAGCTGTAATGTCAAACGAATAATGTAAAGTCAAACGAATAATATAGTTATTAAATCAAATTTCAAAAGTCTCACAGTAGTTGACAAAAAACAAGTTTGATCTGCAAAAACTTGGGTAGCAAGATTTTAAAGATTCATGATAGGTGGAGTTGATTATTTGACCAATGCCAATTATTTTATATATTGATGATAAGTACTATTCATATATTTTTCTTTTGACATCAAGTACTGTTTATACTTACAAACAAAGGAGAATTTAAAAACATCAAGTGCTAACGTGACGAGAACACTATTATATAGACCCACGACGATTAATAAAAGCAAAGAAAAAGTGACAGGATCCGAATCTGATCTTACAATATCATTTCTGACACAATGTAATGTGATTTTGTGAGATCTCACTATCTAGTGTTGTACCAGTACTTGAAGAAATTACATCTATCGTAATTGAGTGGGTGTCACGTTTGAGTTCGATAATGTCACTATGGGAGAGCTATCTTGATCTTCCGTCATATTCATCATTCTCACTGATGCTTTTGCTTTGTTAATAGTAATCTCACTTCACATTCTCAATGATATGCTTGTTTTTACCCATTTCATCTCTACCAACTTATTGTGTATTTGTTTCTAGTGGGATAAAAACATACTTTGTACCGAGTTTTGTACCACTATTATGCTATTACGAGGTTTGAGCGTGAATGTCCATGTGTTGGTCCACATGTCTATATCAGATAACAAATGTAACAGCAATTGTAATGTATGACCGGATCAACTTATTTTACTTGATCCACATGCAAAAGAATGTCTCATTAAACTAATAAGTTTCAACCTTCACACAAGTTTTAATGATATAAAATTGAACATTAGCTTGTAAGAAAACTCTTTGTGCGAATTATTCAGATAAACACATCAAGGACCAAAATCATTTCTTTTGCAAACTAATCAAGGACCTAAATCTTGCAACTAGAAAAGGAATAAACCTGTTATTATAACCAAGCACTGTGACAGTTACACCAGACGTCACATATCTTCATCTCTACCCTCTTCTTTCACCATATACTATTTTTTTCTAACACAGTGAATTTCAAATACATGACATAACAGAAAAATAAATAAACACTGAAACAAAAAAGTAAATATGTAAGAAAAAACCAAGGCTAATCTCCCTAACGTCCATTTCACGCCGTGAAGATAACATTTTGTCCCGGTCTGATAGACCAAGACTGGTCTCGAGCATTTGTGGTCCCTCTAGCAACTGTTGTTTTCCCTGTTCTTACCCAGTCTAAGAGCTCTTGTGGAACTGGCTCACCTCTCCTTTGTTGCGGTGATTTACTTGCTGTGTGCACCAACATCTTCCATTTGTCCTATCACTCACATCAAGCACAAAGAAAGTTACTTCTTGAAACACATACTTAATTTTTGTTTTACCTTCAAATCCAATATGTTTGGTGATTTGCATTATTAAAAGGACTTTACATCGATCCACCAAAAAAAAAATATAAAGTGATAACGTGATAAGAAAACTACTCCATCCCTCCGTTTTAATATAAAGTAAAGTTTGAATCATACCCCTGCACAACTTTATTTTTATTTCTGTAATATTTATATCTGATTTATGTGATATTTATTAAATATATAATTTATTATCGGATAGTATATATTGTATAATTTTATAACATTGTTGCTCAGTTTGCCGATGTTATTAATAAATGGTTATATATGTAATTTTTCGTCATCAATTTTGAAAGAATATAAACCTAAAGTCTTACGTCTAGTACAAAAAATCTTATATATTAAAACAGAAGTCATGACTTGACTTCATGTGTGATTTTTTTTAAAAATGGACTATTACTAGAAAGTTATGTTACATTAACTCTCTAATAATCTTATCATTATTATACATATCTTATGAAAAATCATATCTATAATAACAAAAATACACTTAACAATTTGGTTTTGA